TCTCGTTCGGTCTGCAAATACCATCCTTGATGCGCTATCACGGGAGATGGACGATGTTGACCCAGACCAACTCGATGATGCGTTCAAATTTGACGATTACTATCGCCAATATAAAGTTCGCCTCAGTCCGCTGCAGGCAGTCGAGAGCAATCTGAAACGCTTACTCGGTGCCACGGAAGATATTCAACCACGAAAACAGATTTCTCCAACAATAATCGCACCCTGCGGGTCACCGGAATTCTTTGTTCGTTCTCGAACTTGGCGTAACTTTCTTCAAACAACCCGAGGTACCGAGGTCTCGCGACATTCCCTCCAGCACGATCTTCCCACTTTACTCGACAGCACAGACGCGATCGCTAATGGAAAAGATGATATCAAGGCTTTATGGAGGGATAGCCGCATACAAGCCATGTTATGTAGACGGAAGACCCGACTCGAGGATTCTGCTGGGTTGTCAGCCTATTCATATCCCTTTCTCGCCTTCTTTCTCTGAATTCATCTGCCCACAGCTTTTTAGACTCGATCGACCGATTGTCGGTACGAGATTATGAGCCAACAGATGAAGACGTCCTTCGGGCTCGATTGCGTACGCTTGATATCCAGGAACATGATCTGGTAGTTGATGATGGTGAGTGAAGCGTGTGATTTTTCGTCTTTACTTAATCCACCTTGGCAGATACCGATGCTCCGAAATGGAAGATTTTCGATGTTGGCGGCTCCCGCACACAAGTCCGTGTTTCGCCGATTTTCCAATTCATGCTCATCGCTGATGATATATGCTAGCGTCACGCTTGGCTACCGTATTTTGATCAGGTCAATGCGGTCATATTCCTCGCACCAATCTCGTGTTTTGATGAGCGACTTCTGGAAGACCCTCGTGTCAACCGTCTGGAAGATTCCTTCATACTCTGGAAAGCGATATGCTCCTCCAAACTTCTTTCGCGGACGATCCTCATACTTTTTCTAAACAAGATGGACATTCTCGAGCAGAAAATCAGAAACGGTGTAACAGTGAAGCGCTTTCTGCCGAGCTACGGTGACCGGCCGAATGAAACGAATGATGTTGTCAAATGTATATATTCCTTACTGTGTCGTTAACTTTCAGCGTGACTGAATAATTTGCCTCTAGACCTTCGACAAAAGTTCAAAGACACGGTGAGGTACTGTTCTCCGGAGCCGCGGGTGTGTCATATATACCCGACCTCTGTCATTGTTGGTGTTTTTCCCTGTTCCAGGCTGAAAGTCCTTTTGATTTTCATTTATAGGATACGAAGAATATGTCTGTGACGCTGATATCTGGTATGTATTTCTATATTCTCCTGTGGTTTACGCAACTTGTTGAAATGGAGAAATAACCTGGCAGTGCGGGACGGAATCTTGCGTGAATACCTGAAGCGGGCGGATTTATTCTGAGCAGCGGATCATGGAGTGACAGTGACATTTGTAATAACAGATCACATGCGAAACCTTGACGAAACCCGATGAATATCATACTATAGATACGACAAACGTAATGAGTGCACGATGATCCTCATGTTTACTGAATCGTGACTCGTGAATACCATATGGTGGGTATCTATAGGGGCCCAGCGCATAATACAATCAGTGCAAACTTCTCACATGACGGCACATTTGACATGTCTATCAGGCTATAAGGGCCTCCATCCCTCACCTGCTGGCCATTTGAGATTGTCTGTTTCCTTCAGCGAGTCACGGTGTACTGCAGAATTCTTCATCCGTCCTAGGTCATCCCCTGAGCTTGGCTCGTCGTCAGTAGGAGACTCCGTATACGGGTCACGATCAACATGAGCGCCATCATCGTCCCCGTGATAGGTATCCGTCATCAACCCCTGCTCGCCCTCCTCCATCCACCTCGCTGGCGCATGCGAATGATAAACGAACCCGCGCCGACTGAGACCTGCCTCAGCTTTGTACCGCGCCGCGTCCAGTTTCGGTTGGGCTTTGAGTTGAAGATTTGAGATAGTTTTCTGGATGTGGGATATCGGTGAAGTATCACTGGTGTCGCGGTCTCTTGTGAGGGAGAGATGGCGAGAGAGGCCCTGGAATGAGGATGTTCGTGTATGTGAGGGAAATGCGGATGTAGATGAGGGGAACTCCGTCGTGTTTGGTGCTGTAGTGAGTTGGATGCTTTCGGGACGTTTGCGCCGGGGAGGAAGTAGGGGTGTTGCAGCATGACGCAATGATTTAGAACGCGTTGGACGTGCGGAGGAAGACATGATGAACTCTGTTGTGTCGTTTGTGGGCCTGCGATCCGGGTGAGTTGGTGGCGCGGGTAGATGGGACGAGTTATCTGGTGTCGTAATTGAGAAGGAATTTCCGGGAATGATCGGTTCTCTGGTAGGAAGTGTCGGGCGAAAAAGGGTGGGCGTATGTGAGGACTGAGTGTTTAAGGTAGCACTCGCCACTTGGTTGATAGACGGCAGGGAACTCGACGTCGATGATGGAGAACTGGGTGTTCGTCGACGGGGGAGCGGAGGTGCAGGACATGTGTCTTCAGATTCAGACGAACGACTCCAAAGTTCTTTGCGCGACTGCTTTGTGGGACTTAGGCTGCGCGGCCTGCTGCTTGCAGAGGAACCAGATGACGTCGTTTTGAGCACTTGTAGAACACGCTCACGATCCAGCTGTTCTTCAACACGCTTCAAGTTCTGACCATGCTTGCTAGCCTCTAGTGACTGCCTCATCAGGGGACTCATGATGTGACTCGGTTTAATACTGCGAGGAGCGTCAAATGGTGCCGGAACAGGTGCGCTTCGTGACTGGGCTAACGATGTGCGACGTGTCTGAGAAACCAAGGGTGCTGGTTTTCGAGGAGGAAGGGGTGGAATTTTGCCATCGTTGCGCTTCTCAGGGGATTTCTGAGCAGCGTCTGTCCCACTTGCTTTGTCACGCATCAAGAATGGATTATGGCTGATCTTCTGTGACAAACGGGAGGGTATGACGGGAGGGGTGTCAGATTGATTGGGAACAGATGGTAATGGGTGGTGCGTATCAGCCTCGAGTGATTGACGAAAGGGATTTATGTCTGGAGAGGAAGAATTTGAGGATGTGGCATATTGTTTGGCTTGGTCTGGATGAACAGGGGGAGCATGTACTTGACGCTTTGAGGGAGAAGTTGATCTTGAGCGTTCATGAACTTCTGGGATTGGGTGGGCTTGAAGAATTTCTGGTCGGTGCTAGTTGAAGGATAGGAAGTAATACACACCTTGGACAAATGCGAGAGTTCTGTCAACGCGATTACCGGACACGGCGTGAAGGACAAGCCTGAGTGCAGCAAAAAACTGGCCACCAGTAAGACAATCTGTGTGGAGCAAGTTTGGAGAGAAGAGTTTCAAGATCTGAACAGAACGCGTATTGTTACTAGAACATGAAGAAGACGTAGAAATGGCCGAACCTGGTCAATATCCGCAGTTGGTAGATTGGGATATCTGCCTCGCAGCCATGCTCTGACTTCGCGGACGCCAACGGACATGGCTTCGAAGTGAGCATCATCGTGGACAGTATCAGGTGAAACTGCAAGATCATTGAGAGATGAAATAAATAAATTGTATTCGAGATCATTGAGAGCAGATACATGAAGAATTAGTGGTCGCATTGCAAGCAGGTGGTCTTTGCACGAGTAAAGCGCGCGTAACACTACTAGTAAGCATTGTATTAAAGACCACGCTAATCATGCACGTGTCTTAGGACTACCGCCATCATGTCAACTGAACCTCCACCACCATACACCCCTACTAGTGCAGCACCGCCCATTTGGGAACCTCACTTTGTAGATCTTTCCAAACATTCATCTCTTGTTCTTCGCAAGCCCTTGGATCCTCCACCCAACTGCTTTTCCACTCCGTCACCTCCAAGAGTGAAGTCTAACGATTTCCCTCCATTCAGAATCCCCTGCGCTGGAAACAACCTCGCAGATGGTTTCTGCATTCTTTATCCCTCCGGTCTACTTGAGAAACATGGGATTCAACAAGCAGACTGGATCCGCTTCCTGGAGGATCTTGCAATCTCTGCTCGTCTCGCGGGTCAGGGACTCAGCGCAGTGGGTTCTCGCGTTCCCATAACAGCGCTTCCCGTTCGTGGTATATTCGGCACAAGAGCAACTGAGGCCGCATATGATTCTCAGTTCACGAGAAACCCTAGGGATGAGGTGCAGACGCTCATTACCGTGTGGAATCAGTCTGCGTTTGAACGACGTAAATTGCGTGTCGCTCTGCAAATCAACGCAAGGGTGGACAACAGGGCCGCGTACGAGCTTCTCGTCGAGTCTCTTTGAAATACTTATGATAATCATACTTGACGGATACCGCCAGAATATCTTACATTTCAGATTCACATCAGGTGTAGGGTATAGCACACGTTTGTAAATCTATGTGCGTTCGTGTCGACAGTTTATCATCCTCGCATAGCTTTTGCAGTTTAACTCATCTCATTGTCTTTGGAACTCTTGGTGCAAAATGCGGCATCGCTACTTGCGGTGGGTGAATTTACCAGTACATTTGTGTCATACGCCAACACACGAGTTCAATCAGTGATAGTACAAGATTTGTTGCACAACGTCGAGAGTCCTATGATTTGCTTCCAACAAGTCGAAATTGGCATGGTGAAGAGGTGGAGAGCTTGCAATTAGCCTAGACTAGCACGGCGAGGAATCTGATAGTTCGAAAGATCTTGAGCATGCACATAGCCTGAGGACAGATACAACTACAAACTGGATTATTGGAAACAATGCATATTTGTGGGAATCATAGTCAAGGAACTTGCTGGGATGGTGGCAGACATAGATGATGTTAACATAAGATGATATCCACCAAGTTCAAATACGAGAAGCATAACCTACAGGAACGCCGGCTACTCAGTGACGATGGAATCAACCATGCTTACCTTCTCTATTTCTTGCGACTCTCGTCGATGTCGTACTACGAGTGCTCAGTGCATCCATACTTCAGCATGTAATCATTGGTCGAGGAGTTGGGCCAAAATGACCACCGCAGGGGTCGAACCTGCAATCTCCTGATTCCTTTGTTATCGTAGTCAGACGCGATGCCATTTCGCCAGGCGGCCGTGTTGATGTCGTCATTCCTATGAGAGATGTCACTCCGGTTTCTTAAAAAGACCGCGGGTTATGTTCTAGAAGGCAGCCATAAGGTCAAGTCGACACATTTTAGACTTGAGCACTCTAACGATAAGCCCGATGCTGCTGTCACTGATGCGGCAGTGCATGAGGCTCAAGGCCTCAGCGCCCCAGCTCTCATGCACTACCCGTCACATCGATGACAAAACCACCACTCACAGACTACAGTCGTCGTCTTTTCTATGCAGCAGGTAGACACACAACGACACTCCGACTGTACTTTCTCTTCGGACACAGTTTCTTCTTCCAGCACGACCAACTTTGATGTACAGTGGCATTGTCCGTGTTCTCCCCGTTCGACAGCGCAACGCTGTCAGCATTCATACATCATACCAGGAAGGAAACTGTCAACCCAGAAGCTTTGCAGAGTCCCTGAAAATTCAAGTTTTGGAACGGACATCAACGGTCCTTTGACAGTATATCAACGAAGATTTACTGGTACTCTCGAGCCATCCACACTTACCACTCCCAACATCGCTTCCTCTACTCAGCTGATCACTTCGACCGTCATCCCAGACCTAACTGGGCTTATCACCCGATGCAACCCAGACCCGATTTCCGGCGGCACATACGGAAATATTTACAAGTGTATATATCACGGACCAGAGGGCGATGCAGATGTTCGTGCGAGTGTTACAATTCTTGTACGTTTATTAACTCTATCCGCAGGTCGCCATCAAAGCGATTCGACCACAATTCTTTAATGCTGAAGTAATGTTCTATCTGATGGGACGGTCAGATTCTCATCAAGCTTTCTTAGACGTTTCGGAGAGAGCTTGGGATTTGGAAGAGGTTGCGGCATTCTAATATTTTGAAATTCATGGGTACAACTGAGGACTTCGGTCCCTCAGTAGCTTTGATTGCCCCGTGGATGACCAACGGCACTCTGACATCGTTTCTCAACCAGAACAACAAGATCCTTGGGTTGCATGATCGTCTGCTTTTGGTGAGCACTTACAAATCACGTTTCAAGTTTGCACAGTCGAGTTCATTGTTTCGTGCACAAGCTTCGTGACATTGCTGCCGCCCTCAACTATCGTGGGTGAAAACGTGCATGTCCAAAGGAAAATGAATAATTTTTCACACCAGTCCATACGTTTAGCTTGATGGAAGACCAACATAACGATCTGAACCCCATCGTTCATGGGGATCTCACTGGTGTAAAATTCATTATCTATTCTACCTGTCACATATTAATGAACAGTTGCAAGACCAACGTCCTCATCGATGGTGATAGAAAGGCGTATCTTGCAGATTTTGGTCTTTCCGGAACTTTAGAAAAGTTGATCGGCATGACATACCTCGCGAAGGGAACCTGTCATCCAGGAGCAGTGAGATGGGCAGCCCCTGAACTTCTTTCCGGGGAAGAATCAGCTTCTGCGGCTACCACTCAAAGTGATATGTACTCCTTTGGTAGCATCATGCTTCAAGTAAGTCGTTCCCTCTTGCTAGTGCAGCAGTTCTCTAAGCTGTCCTGCAGGTTTTAACGGGAAATGTCCCCTGGTGTCACTTGACTCGTGACTTCCAGATCGCGCTCCAAGTGGGCTTTCGGCAAGGGTCATGCTTGAACATGTATAAACTCGTCTACAGGCAGCGCGCAGTGCTACAACTGTCATACGACTGCAACCCCTTTGTGGAGGAAGGATGACGAAGACAAGACTGTCTGCAACGCGTAAGTTCTCATCTGTTGTTCCTTCCATATTTGTACTGATGTCTTATATATATACAGATGCAACCTCTACTTTGAGCTTCATGGCTCCGCTCGTCCCATTAGTATGAAATCCGATGTCATTTACAGGCGCTCCTTCCTCAACGAGCCCCACGCAGAGGATCAGAATGGGGTGGTCAATGCTAATCCTGCGACCGATAACCTACCATCGGAACCCGATCCATACTCTGAAGAAGCCATACGTCCGAAGCCGATGCCATCGTCCACTAGTATCTGTGTTCGACAGTCTATGTTCGTGCCGGGATGGACTGTTCCCCCTAGGGTGCTTCTTGTGGACGATGACGCGGTGTCCGGGAGATTGACGAGCAAGTTTTTGCAGGTGTTTGGATGCATGAGCGACATTGCTGTGGATGGTGTTGAAGCTGTGACTAAGATGAATCTCGAAAAATATGATTTGGTGTTGATGGCGAGCCCTTCTCTTCTCTCTGCGTGTGCTGTGGACTAATTTGATGTTTTCAATTGGGAACGCGATAGGACATCGTAATGCCCAAAATGGATGGGGTCAGCGCCACGAAACTCATCCGCCAATTCGACCATGTGACCCCCATCATCAGCACGACGTGTTATTCAAATTTGAGCGACGTTATGACATATTACTTAGCTGGGATGAATGATATTTTTCCCAAGCCGTTTACGAAGGATGAGTTGTTGAAATTGCTGGATGTGCGCTCTTTATTCTATGCCAAGAGCCAGGGATGTATAAATTGACGCGGGTGCACAGAAACATCTTACACACCTTAAAGTTCACGCTTCCTCCAATACCAGTTCCTCATCTAATGCGTGCTCCTCTTCCAGTCTGCATCCGATGTTGAGAATGTCGGGGTACGACGATTGACGGATTAACCCCTAGCTGGGATTGATCTGTCTGACGAGCAATACGCAGCGATTCTAAGAAATCTTATCACCCAGGAGAGCTTTTCGAGTGTGACTTTTCGTTTGGTCTCGCAGGTGCTTTGGATCCTGGGGCGGTAGGGGAAAGCGAGAATTGGACGATGGGAGGGGAAAAGGGGACGTTTTGAAACTATTGAGTGAGTTTTGTCTGGGTGGATACCAATTTTACAGACATTTTCTTATCAAGATATGACCCTTGACGTTACTTGCGTACGTACTCATCCTTTTCTTTTGTATACACATTGTTTCAAGTAAATACTCAATTCTCGCATTGGCAGTACCTTCTCTCATGCATTGAGCGCACTGAACATATTTATATCTGAACTACCAAAAAAAAAGGAAATCCCTTTCGGATGCCGTTTGACTTGATGTCTGGCTGTTGCCAGCATCGAGGAGATATCGAAAATGATGTTTCGCCCTCTTCCTGTTGTCGCCTATATGCCATGGTCAAACGATGAATGAATAATGATCTAAAAGGATGTGCGTTTATACTCTGGGATTATTAGGGTAGTCCCGTTCTGTAGAGCACAGATCTAATACCACATGGCCCTGGCATACATTTATCTGTGTTCGACAGTTGATAGAGGATCATAGGTTTGCCAGATTGGAGGTTTACTGCTTGAGACCCTGACCCTGAGTATCATATTTTGAAACAGGTGTTTTGGAGTGTCAGGGTGCCAACACATCACAAATCAGCTGTGAGCACCACATTGTGAATAGGCAGGCGCCCGCTTGTTTGAGTTGGCCAAAAACACCACATGGTGAATAGGCGGGTGCCCGCTTGTTTGAGTTGGCCAAAAACACCACATGTTGAATAGGCGGGCGCCCGCTTGTTTGAGTTGGCCAAAAACACCACATGTTGAATAGGGGGGCCCATGCTTGTTTGAGTTGGCCAAAAACACCACATGTTGAATAGGCGGGTGCCCGCTTGTTTGAGTTGGCCAAAAACACCACATGGTGAATAGGTGGGTG